TGTTTAGTTGTAAATATGAAATGCGTAGGAATGGAATGATAATAACCATTATAGTGTTTGGTTGAACCATTTAAAATTTAGAAATGCAATAAATTTCAAATTGAGTTCTTCAAAATATCCCTCTTGGTAACAAATAAATTAAATTAACAAAATAACATTCTTTTATAATTTTTAAAAAATAAATGGTGGCAGTGGTGGTGGTAGTGATGGTGGTGGAGGTAGAAAGCGGTAGTGGTATAGGTGGTAGTGTTGGAAGGCGGCGGTGGAGGCAATGGTGGAAGGCGGTTGTTGTGTTGGTGGAAGGCAGTGGCAATAGTGTGGTGGTGCTAATAAGGAGATAGTGGTGTAGGTGGCGGTGGTAGAAGCCAATGGAGGTGACTGTGGTGGTGGTGGAAGACAACGAAGGTAGCGGTGGTGGTGGTGGAAGGCAATAGCGGTGGTCGTGGTGAAAGACGGTGGTGTTGGTGGTGGAAGGTGATGGCGATGGCGGTGGTGGTGGGGAAAGGCGGTGGCACAGGTGGCGAAAGGCGATGACGATGGTAGTGATGGTGGCGGAAGGCAATGACAGTGATAGTGGTGGTGGAAGGCGATGGCGGCAGTGGTGGTGGAAAGCGATGGCGGCGGTGGTGATGGAAGGCGAGGGCGATGGTGGTGGTGAAAGGCGGTGCTGGAAGGTGGTGGAAAGTGGTGGAGGTGGCTGTGGTGAAAGGCGGTGGTAGTCGGCGGTGGTGGTGGTGAAAGGCAGAGGTGGTTATGGTAAAAGGTAGTGGTGGGTTTTGGACTTGGAACATAAGGGTTTTTTGGAAAGTTGGTTTTTAAAAGAAATTTACTTAGAAATGGAATGGTCATTCCATAGGTTTAATTGTGGAATGGATTTTTATTTCAATTGAATGACTATTCCCACTTGAAATTGCATACAAAACAAAGAAATGTTGGAATGGGCATTCCATTTCATTCCATTCCTACACACCAAATGCAGCATTAGAGCTTTCAGATTTTGCTTGTGAGTTATTGGGTACAAAAGAATTGAGGGTGTTGAATGATATCTGTATGTGTAATTATCTATTATTTGGTACGATTTTACAATCTTGAGTGAAAATTTTGTTCTTCATGGATGTAGAAGTGTATTTGCCGAACCACGTATATCTCCTCAGTTTTGTTTATGTGAATGGTTGGTTTATTTTGCTTATGTGAATGGTTGGTTTATTTGTTGTGGGTACTTGTTCATTTCCCAACAAGAATGAAATTAAGTGAAATAGAAATGCATTTGAAAATGGAATGATAGAGAATGGTAAATGAATAGAATGGCCAATCTCATCCCATTGTTTGGTTACAATCATGAATGATATGATTATTAATGTTAACATGCTTGGTTACTCTAATTTAAAAGTAGGGGTGGGCAAATAATCTGTCGATCCGGTTCGAACCAATCTTATTTGTGTGGTTCGATTCGGTTTTCAGATCTCATGGTTCGGTGATGGTGTAGAAAAATAGTAATCCGCTATTCGCGGTTCGATTAACAGATTTGGCCCTGGAAAAACCGATCCGATCCGTTAACCGATCCGATCCGATCTGTTATCTTAATAATATAGTAATATATTATATATATATAACTATATATACTTACTGTATTTCTATTTTTTATTCATTATTTAATATATATATATTTTTTCTATGCTAATGAGTTACTGTGCTACTATTTAAGTGTTTTGTTTTGTTATATTTTGATAATTTATATTTGGTATTGTAATATTATTTTCACTTTTGGATGATTTACAACTCTATTTTGTCATTAGGTAATTTAAGTTTGTGGTGATATATGTTAAAAAGTTAGTTACAGGCTTTAAATTACTAATTTGAGATTTGAATGGCCATAAAGTGTAATCATATTGGGCTGTTTGAAAAATCTAATACGTGGAAACCAATCTGATCCGATCTGTTATTTCACGGATAGGTTTGGTTTTAATTGAAGGTCCCCACAGATCGGTTCGGTTTCAAATTTCACCAATCCGCGAGAACCGAATTAGATTGAACTTTACCTCCAAACCGAATCGATCCGATCCGTAATCAGCCCAATTTAAAAGTTAAAAATGAAATGATTTTTAAATTAATTTTTCCAAAGTTAAAAATGAATTAATATACTGACACGTGTGTTATATATAATTAAGAAATAATACTATTTGTAATATAATGTATATCGTAATATACTATTTCATAAGACATATTGCATATTAGTAAATTGTATTTTACCAATTATTTTTTTATATGTTAGTAATATATTTGACGTATTGTGTTAATAACATATTGTATAAGATATTATATAAACTATATAATATATATATATATATATATATATATATATATATATATATATATATATATATATATATAACAAATAATTTAGCGAAAATACAAATTATATAGATATGAGCTATTTTTAATTTTAATGATCACGGGTAAATCTTGACTCTTTTGGGATATCAATTATAAATCATGGTTCACAGTATCGGTCAAGGTCACGATATCGGTCGCGGTCGCAGTGTAACGGATTCGAACAAAGTTAGTGTAAACTGGCCGATACGAATTGCGTATTGAATTTAAAAAAAAGTCACATATCTAACGATATTGCGAACCATATTATAAATTAGATCATGTGATTCATGTGAACAAGTGACCTTTGTAATTTTAAACAAGTGAGGTTTGTAATCGTAATCGTAAGCTTTTAGTATTGATGGCTACAATAATTGGCGGATTTTTCAGTTAAGTGGCATCATAATGATGTGGTTAAACAGCTTTACACAGCACTTATTTATTTATTGGGTAAAGAACATTTATTATATTGATTAAGTCTAAATTAAAGTGACTTTGAAGGTAAGAAATGCACTTATATTATATTCTCTTATATAAAAGAATGACAAATTGGCATTTTACAAAATCTCAACAAGTCTAGTTCGAAAGAAAAGGTGATTTGTTTAAATATCAGGGAAAATCAGTGTAAATCTCAACGTCTTATGGTTGTTTTTACAGGGAAAAGATAAGCTCCAAGAAAGTAAGGAGCAGAGGTCACAGAATTTCAGTCGTATCTGTTACCAACTGCATTTTCATCCCGGCATCCACCACTACGAGTAACCAAGTACATTCTCTCTCTTTTATCTTGTTAATTAACCTCCTAATGTTATATCCAACAAAGTCTCAATAGAGATTATAACTAAGAATTGTTTGCTTTCATTGGGTACTTAAGCCCTTATTCTTGTAACACAAGTTGTTTCCATTACAAATATTTTTTCCTTATCATTTAAAATCGTTGTTTGAGTTGGGCAAGAATACTCTTAGGTCGTGTGGGCCTTATGGCTTTGCTTGATTTCCCTTGGCCCACTGGACCAATCCTAATGCTTCGTTCCTGGGCTAATGCGGTTGGGCTACAATGGGCTTTTGGTACTTTCTTGCTGGCATATTCCTTAAGACATCCACTTTCATGATTTCATAATCTGGCCCTTCGTTGCATACGTCACGTCTTTCGATCAGGGACGGAGCCGATGAAGGCCCGAGGGCACGTGCCTCCCTGGCCTGGCTTTGCCTGCCTTCTATAATATATGTAGTAATTTTTTTTTTATATTTTTTTTATATATATGAAAAATTTTATCTAGTGTGCCCCCTAGCGCCTAAATTTTGTGATTTCTAAAATTATCTCTTTAAATTTTTCTTCCTCAATTGATTTCTTTTTCTATTTCTACTTCTTAAAATTCTTCTTTTTAACGTGAATATTTAAATAATTTTCTTCCTTCTTCTTCTTTTGTATTTTATATTTGTTATGTTTATATATATATATATATATATATATTGCACCGTGCCCCCTAACTTGAAATCTTGGCTCCGTCCCTCCTTCCGATTGGGCGAAGGGGGAAGATTTTCCCTCCACATTGGCGTTATATATATTTGAAGTTTAAAGTATAACTTAGGCCCCATTTGGCATGTGTCTTGTTTTTCCTGTTTTTGTTTTTGGGCTACTATAATGTCGATTTTGGTAACAAAAATATGTTTGGTACGGTTTTGTTTTATTTTACACAGTGTTAAAATACTTCGTGAACAGTAGCCCAAAACCAAAATACCAAAAAGATGTTTTTCTTGTTTTGACAATTGTTCATGGCTCAAAATCATAACTGTGCATGTTTCTATTTTCGACATTTTCACAGTAAAAAAATCATTCCCAAACATGTTTTAGATTTTTTTTCCTAAATACTTCTACAGCAAAAACATTGTTTTTTTTTAACCAAAAACAAAATACCTAAAGCAAAGCGCATGCCAAACGGACCCTTAGTAATTTGAAAAAGGACAATACATTAATTGCATGACTCCATAAAAAGTTATGAAACCAAATAAGGACAACTAACCCTACAAAAAATGAGTAAATTTGTGACAAGGAAAAAGTGTCACTAAGACTCGATATCTCATCACGAAACTGTCACTGGAAACTGCTTTGCGGTTTTATATTGTAACAATCAATTAGCAACCGTCACTAATACTTGTTAATTGTGACGGAAAAATTGGTGTCACAAAAATTTTTATTTTAGTAATATTATAATATTACTTTTTATAATTAGATAAAGAAAATGTTAGATACTAACGGTAAACCTCATCAACGCTTCTGATGGGTGAAGAGGTGCATACATTGAGATAAAGTCATGAGACCTATGTGAAAGGGAATGTTCAATAGATAAGTTGTAGAATTCTTGGACGGGATGATGAAGAATGGAATGCGTAAGTGATCTGCTTGCATTATCTTAGGAGATACTTCTCTGTATTTCCATACAATGCGCTTACTTTTATGTTTAAATTCTGTACTTTCCTTTATCGTATTTACATTCCATGCCACTTAAGTTTCGATCAATTTCCTTTAATCGTATTTTCCTTTTATTGCATTTTCTTGTTGAAAGTCTTCTTTGGTTAGGCAATCTGAACCTTTAAGGGAGTTTAATATATCTCTTTAACAATAGCAGGATGGTCGGCGTGCTATTGTTGGTACCAGCTGCGATTACGATTGGATATACAATAGGTAAAGATACAATTCCGTATCTGAAGCGCAAGCATGATCACGTGAAAGAACTGGATAGGAGATTTTTTAAACTCAAACGGGAATTTGATCTACTCGGTCCGAAAATAACCAATGGTAAGGATATGGTACAATGGGATGTGATTACAGACGAGACGAAAAGGGATTACAAAAACTTGCTTGATGGGGCTAGTGACCTAATTCGACGATTTGAAAGACTGCAACAAAAATATAACAAAGTCCACCGAAAAAGCGCCCACAACTCTCCTGGAGGAGAAATTGAAGTTAATGAACCGGACTATTTTTATGGTTCGCCACGTTTTTTCAAGCTTGCAAATATCAGTAAACACTTTGACAAGTTAACTAAAGACGTGGAAACTCAGACAGAGAAAATGAAAGGGATGACATGGAAGAAACCAGCACAAGTTAAAAAGGAGGATGGTGCAGATAACATAGATGATATCAAATATCTCAATGATCGTGTAGGGGAAATTTTCGAATATCTAAGAGAGGACGAGGTCCGGACAATTGGCATTTGGGGATTTCCTGGGGTCGGAAAAACAACTATATTGAAAATTTTGAATGACAAAATGGATGGAAACCCTATGTTTGACATTGTTATTTGGGCAAATGTTCCTGAAGAGGACAATGATATTGTTATGAGGATGCAACAACAAATCATTGACCGATTGGAACTAAACAAGGAGACGGGCGATGCCAACACCACCACCACCAGCAGGGAGCAAAATGCAAACACAATATCTAAAATATTAGCAGAGAAGAAGTACTTGGTTATTCTTGACCGAGTATATTCAAACATCAATCTGGTTGAAGTGGGAATAATTCGTGGGGAACATACAGGGGGAAAGGTTGTGTTTGCATCTGGAGGTAGAAGTTTCATGGTTGAGCTTGCAAATGGAGGTAGATCTTTTAGGAAAGCAGATCGTGATATAGAGATCAAGAGACTAGAAGAAAAATATGCACTTGTGTTGTTCAGACAACTTTTGGGAGATGTTGTAAGCACTGGTTCAATCATGGAAGAAATAGCAGAGCAAATGGTCAAACACTTGGGTGGACTGCTAAAGTTAATCAAAGGATTGACAACCCACTTGAAGAATTGTGATTCCGATGAGCATACATGGCAACAAGAACTGATGACTCTGCAATCACCTGTTGAATGTCAACAGGATGATGTTGAAGATATCTTTAAGTTCTTCACTTTCATTTGCGAAAAATTAAATGTGGAATGGAAGAAATGCTTACTATATACAGCATCATGTCCTACGAGCTACGAGATTGATGAAGATAATCTAGTGGAATGTTGGGCAACTGAACAACTTTTTCAAATTAATTCCACCTATAGACATATCTTTAGCGTGTCACAAATTAAAGGGCATATGATTTTGAGAAATCTGATAAATAGATGCTTGTTAGAGAGGCATCATTTGAGCAATTATATTACTATGCCCCAGCCCTTTAGAAATTGGGCAACGAGGATGTTTAATCGACTAGATGGTGAAGAAAGTCGTGCGAAAAGGGTTTATTTATTGATGTGTAGTACTGAACTCCACTCTTTGCCCCAAACCCCTGAATGCGTTAACGCCTCTACGTTATTAATACGTCAAAGCAATGCAGAGCAAATAGAACTTCCTGGGACAGTCTTTGGTGATACACAAACCCCGAGTTCTACACTTCTTCAAGTTCTGAACTTCCAGCAAACTGGTATTGAATCCCTGCCTTCATCTCTCTTCCACTTAACCACCCTTAAAGGTTTATATTTAAATGGTTGTCAGCATTTACGTGTGCTACCGACTGAGATTCAAGCACTCGCAACTCTTGTGGTCCTTGATATCCGTAGCACTGGGATTGATTCTTTGCCAAATGAAATTGGAGAGCTGTATGGAACTCTCAGGTGCTTTAGAGTTTCATTTCGCTATGATGCTACCAGTACTAGTACTACTCCAACACCAGAGAGAGTACTAATTCCTTCTAATGTCATCAAGAGGCTTTGCAGTCTCGAAGAATTGACAATCTTTGTAGATCCAAGGGAACAAAGTTGGAATGAAAGCATTGTAGATAATATTGCGATGGAGATGGGAAGCTTGAGACTACTTAGCAGTCTTTGTTTCTACTTTCCAAGTCAAGAATGCCTCACAACTTTTATAACAAATAGGGAATTATGGAAAAATGCTACTACAGAAGTACCATGGGCAAATAGTCACAGGTTTAGATCATACAAAATGCAAGTCGGTGGGTGTCACGGGAGAATTAAACCTGATGAATTGCATAGCTCTGGTAGCTCCAATGATAGTCGATGCCGTCATTTTGTATTTTCTGACGGCCGAGAAATCACTAGCAAAACCGCAGAGGTACTCAAACAGGCCAGTACTTTTGAACTGATTCGTCACAAGGGTTTCCACAGCCTATCACAATTTGGCATGGGAAATATGGAATCCTTGAAAGTTTGTGTAATTGAACATTGTACTGAGTTGAAAAGCGTTTTCAGTGGTACTGGAGGTGGTTCTGCTTTTCTAGCCTTAGAAAAACTACACATAAATGGGTGTCTGAATTTGCTCAAAGTTTTCTCGCATCAGATTGCTCAGCTACTCATAAAGTTAAGAGATTTGAAAGTGGAGAATTGTTCTGAGGTTAAGGAGATAATTGAAATTGATAACAAAGATATCGACCTATCGGGAACCTTCCCTAAGCTCGAGAATTTGCATTTAGTTAACTTAACAAGGTTGACTTACATATGCTGGAATGACTCGTTGAACTGGCCCTCTTTAAAGAAGTATGAGATCAAGGATTGTGGAGATTTAGAGAACAATACACCTTTGAGTCTGGTTTTCCGTTTTGCACTACCTGCTGAAAGCCAAGCACCACCACATGGTGGGAACGAAAGTTCAGCGAGACAAAATGCCGACGTTGCTTCATCGTCTGCAAGTGCTGGGGTTCAGCGATCCAAAGCTTCATCATCTGCAAGTGCTGGGGATTTAGCAAGCCAAAATGCCGACGTTGCTTCATCATCTGGAAGTGTTGGGGGTTCAGCGAGCCAAAATGCCTACGTTGTTTCATCTTCTGCAAGTGCTGGGGGTTCAGCGACCAAAAATGCCGACGTTGCTTCATCGTCTGCAAGGGCTGGGGGTTCAGCGACCAAAAATGCCGACGTTGCTTCATCGTCTGCAAGTGCTGGGGGTTCAACGAGCCAAAATGCCGACGTTGCTTCATCCTCTGCAAGTGCTGGGGGTTCAGCGACCCAAAGCCAAAATGCCGACGTTTCTTCATCCTCTGCAAGTGCTGGGCGTTCAGCGACCCAAAATGCTGACGTTGCTTCATCATCTGCAGGTGCTGGGGGTTCAGCGACCCAAAATGTCGATGTTACTTCATCATCTGCAAGTGTTGGTGGTGTTTCAAATCGAAATGGGAGCGAAAATTCGACTGACCCAAATGCATATAATCCAACCTCTCCAAGTTCTCGACGTGCAAATTGGTTTTCCTTTTTATTAAGACCATGTGGTCAGAAAAAAAATTCAACGAGCCAAAATGGCTCAGCTTCAAAGCCTACAACTGGTAGGACTCCTTCAAATGCGCATAGGAAAAAAAATCGCTGGCGTCTGCTCTTCAGATCTAATCAAGCACATGATGAATTCAAACATGACATGGGAACCAAACTTCAGTAGCCTAGATGTCTTTGCGCCACAAGAAGCCTCCATTTAGGTACGACCTTTTATATAGCATTTTTTACTTTTTGCTTTCCGGGTTGGTACTTTGTTTTTAAAAAAACATTAAAAAATTCACCTAAGAAACACCAACACTTTATGGGTCTAGATAATATTTTTTTCTTTTTAACGAGGTCTAGATTAAATGAACCCTACAATTTGATTCAATTTTGTGATGAAATAGTTCCGTTCTAATTTTAAAAATTACAGAACTATTGATGACGATTGATTTTTAGTTTAGGGTTAAAAAAATCAAACCATTAGTAATAATTTGATATATATTCACGTAGGGATGATAATGGAGCATTGTACACACAAATTTTGTAACTCTGCAATAGAAATAAAATATGGAGCAAATAATATAATTTTATTAATTTGAATAGATGGAGTACAATCCTCTGTAATATTCTTTACAAAAGAAATAGAGTACGGTTCTCTGATTAAATCTCCTTTTTTGTTGGTTGGTTGGATTCAAGGGCTGCACAGGCTTGATCTTGAATCACCGTGGAATTTGATGAAGAACGGCACGTCTTTGGTTGTGCTTGTTGTTGATCACCGTGTGTGCGCTGTGCTTGTTGTTCTTCGCTTTTGGGTGTGAATGTTAGGGATGAGAGTTTTTGTATCTCTCTAGAATTCTAGATTTCTGAATTATGAATTTGTGTCTCCTTCTTCCTTCCTCCAGACCTCTATTTATAGTTTTCTTGGATTCATAGGATGATGACATGTGTCCTCTCTGATAAGGAAAATATCATAACTGGGTCAGGCCGGATATATTATGATAATTATCCTTAAAAATAATTATTCAAAATATATTTTATTAGGAATAATTATTCTTTTTATTTAACCATCTGTATTGGGCTTAATTAAATAATTTAAGTGGACCAAACTTGGGCCAACTAAATAACTTAATTAAACATTAGTCCCATATTTAATGGGTCCATTTGTTCAAATCAAAGTCCACTAAAATTTTATTGTTTACAAATTGCCCTCACTTCGAGTCCCAAACTTAACAAGACTTGTCTCTCTTTCAAGTGGGACTCGAAGTATCCAACTTTCCTTCTATTTTTTTTTTTTTTTTCAATCCCACTTTGGATTGGAATTTTACTTAATAAATCCCTTGCCTATATATATCACCAAAGTCATAGGGTTTGACTTCAATTTCAATCAGCTCTGAATGACTTGTAAGATTGCAGCCTCTGAAGATTGTGTTGGATTGCGGCATTTGTTTGAACACATATGTATGACTATTCCATTTTTTTTTTTTGAAACAAAAATGTTATCATTGTTTATTGGTTTCGCCGTTCACAGTTTATACTCTTGCGGGCTCAGAGTATGTTGTCATTTTTTTTTTTTTTTTGGCTGTACACAGTTTTAGCTCATGTGGGCCAGGAGCATAGTGCAGTTTAAGCTCATACGATCAGGAGCATATCCTTCATGGGTAATAGCGTTTCAGGAATTTGCCATTAATGGGCCCCACTCTTACTCCGTCTTCATCAATAATGAGATACGCGCCGTTAGTATAAACTTCACGAACAACATATAGTCCATCCCATTTGGATACAAATTTATTCCCCTTGCGATTCATGATAATTGGTCTTCGAACAGCTAATACTAAGTCTCGAACTTGGAATGACCGATGTCGAACTTTCTTATTGAAGGCTTTAGAAAGTCGAGCGTGATAACACTCTAGCTGTTGTTGGGCTTCTAATCTCTTCTCATCCAATGCTTCCAGTTCTTAAAAACGTAAGATGGCATTTTCTTCACTTATAAGACTTTCTTGTATGGCAATCCTTAACGAAGGGATCTGTTGTTCCAATGGAAGAACCGCTTCTACGCTATAGACCAGAGAATACGGAGTTGCTTCAGTAGGTGTACGATGCGTAGTGCGGTATGCCCACAATGCTTCTTCCATTCGCTCATGCCAATCTCTCTTTGTCTGGTTGACTACTTTCTTCAATAACTTACAAAGATTTTTATTGAATGCTTCCGCGAGACCATTGGCAGGGGCATTGTACATAGAGGACTTACGTTGTTTGAAACCAAACTTCTCACAAAGGTCAGTTACCCAACTATTTTTGAAATTCGTCCCATTATCAGTGATAATGTATCGAGGGACACCATATCGATAGATAATGTTCGACTCGATGAAATCAACCACTGTTTCCTCTTTCACATGTTTATAGGGTGCAACTTTCGCCCATTTGGAAAAATAATCAGTGGAAGCCAAGATATACAAGTGGCCCTTTGAAGACTTGACTAAAGGACCAACTACATCTAATTTTTATGCATCAAATGGTCATGATGTCACAGTAGGGTGCAACGGCTCCGGTGGTTGGTGTATGAAGTTAGCATAGAATTGACAGGCTTGACACATTTTCGCATACTCCATACAGTCCTTAACCATGGTGGGCCAATAATAATCCATTCTTTTGACACGAAAGTGAAATTTTGGTTCAGACTGATGGGCTCCACAAATCCCAGAATGTGCTTCCTTCATTGCATGGGTGGCTTCATCATTTGCGAGGCAGCGACGGAAAAGGCCCTCATATGAACGCCTATACAACGTATCATTGCAATAGATGAATCGAGGTGCTCGTCTTCGTATTTCAATCTTATGGCGTTGATCTTCGGAAAGCTTTCCATGTTCCAGATAATCAATGATAGGGAGTCTCTAGTCTTCTTCCTCTTGTGTCCAATAAGAAACCAAATTACTTTCTTCAAATTTATTTTCCAAGACTTGTGGCAAGACCAATCGTTGACATACAGGAACATCAACCAAGTCCTCAGCAGTTAACGCCAATGTTGTAGCTAAATTTGCCAAAGCATCAGCTATCCGATTTTCTTACCTCGGAATGTGTTCTAGCATGACGCTATCAAATCGTTCCAACAAATGAGAGGCATAACGATGGTACAGCACTAGATCATCTTTCTTAACCTCATACTCTTGAAGAAGTTGGTTAATCACCAATGTTACCCAGGAATTGACTCTAGAGAGGGGGGGGGGGGGGGGGGGGGAGGGGGGTGGAATAGAGTCAGTGGCCAATTTTCTCAAATAATAGAAATACAATTTCTAATCAACAGTATAACCAATTATGCAATAAACAAGATATGAAAGTAATCAATTTAGCACAACTGTAAAATAGATAAGGGAAGAGAAATTGCAAACAATAACACGGCGATTTTTGCGAGGTTCGGAAACTCCTACTCCTCGGCTCAAGATCCCTCTTGAGACTTCCCAAATTCCTTAGAGTTTCTCCTTAATGGTGGAGAGCAAACCTTCAATTGAAGCAAGACCTTGCTTCTCTTTCTTGCTAGGACCTTCTCCTAGGCTTCCTTTTGGGTCACACAAACCCTTTACAGTATCCTTGCTAAGAGACCACCTCTCTTAGTTTTACATAGGCTACACCAGCCCTTACAATTTCTTTGCTAAGAGAAATTCTTCCTCCTAGGCTTACAGCAGATTTGCAGATAGAATTTGTAGTACAAGAAATCCTCTCAAGAACTGATACAAATCAAACCTCACAATAGAGTATATATGAAATCAAGTGAAGCTCAAACTCTAAGTATGAAATGTATGAGAGATGATGAGGAAAATGCAGAACAAAAGCTCTGATGAAAAACTAGAACAAAAGTTCAGCAAAGGCTCACTAAATGCTCTTTGAAGTTCACTCTGGTTCAGCTATGGAAGCTTGTATACGAGATGAAGATTGATGTCTGAACAGAGGCTCTATGAGTGAGTAAAACCAGAACAAAGGCTCTGTATGAAGGTAGAGCTAAAAGCTTTCTTTGATGCACTTGAATAAATGTTCTTGAATGCTCTCTCAAGTAGTATAATAGAGCAAAAACTTTATGAAGATTAAAATAAGAGCAAAAGCCCTTTTAATCTTTACTGGAATCTCTCAAGATAGAATAAAAGTGAAATGAGAGAGATGAAGAGAAGATGGGAACAAAAGTTCTATTTGTAATGTAATATAATGTCTCTCAAAATCGTGTATATTCTTTGCAGACAAGCCCTCTGTATATATAAAGAAATTCATAGCTCAATATAGCTGTTAGGAGTGGTTAGATGAATTAAATGCAGAAAAATTGTCGTTGTAATTCAAAACCCTCAAAGGAGCCGGCTCTTTGCAAAAGTGGGGCGGCTCAATTTCAAGTGGAGTCGGCTCCATTAAAAAAGTGGAGCAGGCTCTTTTTCTAAAATGGAGGCGGCTCAATAAAAAAATAGAGCTTTCTCTAGTTTTGTAGAGCCTTCTCTACTTTCCTGAGCCTTCTCTAGTTTTGTAGAGTCTTCTCTACTTTCCTGAGCCTTCTCTATTCTTTGAGAGCCTGCTCTATCTTTCATAGGGCCTGCTCCATTGGTCTTGAGAGAGCTGGCTTTATTTCGTATAGAGGCCGCTCTTGCTTCATGAAGGCTGCTGCTAAATTGGATTGGACAGAAAAAGTGCGTGACTTCAAATGGACATAACTCAGTCCATGAAACTCGAAATGAGGTGAAATTTGAGTCTAAATTTATTTCCTTGAAGTCAGCTTTCTAAAGCCACCGGCCTTGCTAAAAAATTCCAACCACAGTAATGGTTATGGTCATTTTAGTGCAACCTGGTCAGAATTTTCGCAGAGCAGAATCAGGCATCTTATGATGGTTATATCTCTCTCAATTCAAGTCATTTTTAGATGAAATTTGAGTCTAAACTCAAGGGCTCGGAGTCAGTTTTCCAATGCCACTGACCTTGTGTAAAAATTCCAACTACACAAATAGTTATAGCAGTTTTAGTGCAAGCTGGTCTGAAATTTTTCTGGGCTGAAAGTTGCTTCTTTTGAGATATCCATCTTTCTAGCACCTAGGACTTTGATGAATGATTCAATTTAGTTCAAGGTCTATTTCTAAGAGTCTAGGGACATATGAAAATGATAAATTTTAAGTGCATTGTGTCCTAGAGTCATTTACCAAATTATGGCAATGAAGGCTTTAAAAGTAGAAAAAATAAATTCAATGCCTTTTCCTTTTCTTTTTAGAGACCAAAAAAAAATATAATGATTAATGTGTATGGTCCTAGCATTTCTAGCTTAAGTAGTGAGTTTTTTCAAAGTTTATGCAAGCTTGAACTAACTCATTCTGAGCAAAGACTTCATATGTTAAATATATATGTATTGAAGTTCATTGTCTATTGCTAATGATGTAGGAGCATATAAATGATGTATGATATGCATGGTCCTATAGAGATGAGTTTCAAATGTATTCATAAAGACTTTGACATTGAATCTTAAGCTCTCACCATCCTATCTACCATTTTCTTCAATCTTTGACCTTGATCGTTTAGGCTTGATGAAGACTTTCTTTCTTTCTTTGAAATGCTTTGTGTGATTTTTGAAGTCCGAGTTCTTCTTTAATTTCTTACACTTTAATGCTTCCTTGAATCTATTGATTGAGTGTTTGGAATGCTTGAAATGGAACTTCTAGCTCAACATTGAGGATTGAATAATTGATCAACTATACTTCACTTAATGAAAATATTAGTACATAAACATCATTAATGGTTTATAATCATCAAAACATAAGATTGACTTTTAGATAAAATCCTTAGGCCAACAATCTCCCCTTTTTTGATGATGACAAAACATTGATGTGTTTATTGTCAAGGTGGAGTTGCATTTTGAAAGAATGCTCCCCCTATCAATATGCATATCTTGAATATCATAGCATGCTTGATTTTACAACAAATATTTTAGAAATTAAAGTGTATAAGACTCCCCATTTCAATATGCATCTAAAATAAGTGAAAAGTAATATACGCATAAGCATAACAAGCATAATGAATCACACATCTTTCTCCCCCTTTGTCATCTCAAAAAGGTGAGCGGAAAAAAAAAAGTTACTTACCATCGCATGAAATGACAGAGAAAAAATGAATTAAAGGGCAAATGAAGAGCAAATATTTCATTTTTTAGATAGCAGAATTCAATTCATAAGAAGAATGTTGACACAGATGCCATCTGGAGGAGGATTGGGATCACTAGGGCCAGATTCATGATCATGGGTAAGTTGAGTGCTCCTATTTTGGCTATGAGAAGGATTCTTTATATGTGAAGAAGAAGCTATAGAATAAAAATTTTGAATGCTCAAGAAACACTCAAAATAGAAATTCAATGGAAGTAAAAGTTAAAATCCCAAGCATTTGTGCAAATAAAAACTAATTTAATTTGCACATCCAGCCATAGTTTTAAGAGCAAAGAGAAAGCATACTTGAAACCCCTTAAGACAATTGTTGAGCAACAAGGTCAATGGATATGGAATTGATAAAATCAGCCTTGAAATGGAAACCTAATATGGAACTTGAATGGAATCACAGGAAAACTTACAATTTAGAGCATAGATTCACAAAACAAGCCCAAAATTTGTGTTCAAATCATCACATGATATTTCTGGGGTTATGAGGGTTTGACAAAGAAGGATTTAAGATAGAGTGTAAAGAGAGAATCATTCTTAAATAATGGTGACTGGGAATATCAAAGAGGCATGAATTTAAGAGGAAAAGTAAATGATTCTTACCTTGGAGGATGAACTTAACATTAAATGAAATTGGAGATTTAATTCATAT